TCAAGAATGAACGTTCAAATGGTTCAAATGGTTGTGGACGGAATAGAAGAAGCTTTCTCTTAACAGGCTTCCGTGTCTAGTAGCAGGGGATCACCAAGCACTCCAAGCAGGAACCTAGGTATGTTAACAATAAAAAGAGGAAAGGAAATTGGTAAATCATAGTGTGATGTTGTCCTTGGTCCTTAAGAATAGGTCAAGTTGCCTCTTGAAGGACTCCTGAGAAGTCGCTTGGACTAGCTCGGCCGGCAGCGAATTCCAGCTTTTGACAACTCCTAAGGAGTAGAAGTTGTGTCTACATTCCGTCTTGCTATGTTGTGTTTCCAGTTTCTGGGTGTTACCCCTTAGGTTATTATTCGAACTAAGCTTAAGTAGGTGTTTAAGAGGATCTCCAGAAGTGTTAAGAATACTATAAGCCATTAATAAATCACCTCTAAGACGCCTATACTCTAATGAGTAAAGGTCTAGTGAATGGAGGCGTTCTTCGTATGGTTTAGATTTGAGTCCTCGAACTGATTTCGTGGCTCGCCGTTGGATACGCTCCAAAGTGACCTTGTCCTTTTGGAGTGAGGGGGGAGTACTATGTTTCCGTACTCTAAATGGGAACGGACAAAACTGTTGAAGATTGTATGGAAATTTCGTCCGTCAGACTGTCCAAAAATGCGCTTCAATGTTACCAGTGCAAGGTTTGCTCGGAAGGCATTTTTGTCACAGTTAGCGTAAGACTTTAAGTCATGGGGCACCAGGACTCCTAAATCTTTTTCGACTTGGGATACTACTAGAGAGGAGTTTCTTAAGTTGTAACTGTAGTTTGCGACATGTCGCAGATGGACTACTTTACACTTTGAAGTGTTGAAGGTAAGTCCGTTATCGTCTGCCCAAGTCGAGTCAGATCCTCCTGAAGTGCCTGTGTATCGTCTTGGTTGCGTATCTCTCTCCAAAGTTTCACGTCGTTGGCAAAAAGCAATAAGTCTGACGTTACCTGTTGAGGAAGATCATTTATGTAGGTCAAGAAGAGAAGAGGCCCTAGTACTGAGCCCTGGGGGACCCCACTAGGACATTCCATAGCCTGAGATAAAGTGAAATTAACTCTAACCTTAAAGTGTCGATTTTTTAGGTATGAAGTAAGCCAATCGATTAGAGGTGGTTTGATACCTAGTTGTTTGAGCTTGTTGATAAGACACAAGTGGTTAACCTTATCAAAAGCTTTTGAGAAATCAAGGTAAATGACGTCAACCTTTCCCTTACAATCGAGGATGCTTGTTCATCTGTCCACCGCAGTCAGCAGGTTGGTTATACAAGAGTAACCCTTCCTGAAACCATGCTGTTGGGGTGAGAAGAAATTTAAGGACAGTAGATAGTCGTTTAAACCGTCGCATATCAGGGACTCCATGAATTTTGAAGGTAATGACAGAAGAGCCACCGGCCGATAACTTGAAGGTTCATTGCGTCGACCTCCTCTGAAATCGGTGTGATGTGAGCCAACTTCCAATTTTCCGGTAATTTGCCTCGGCTAAGCGAGTGTGAAAACATCACGCTAAGCGGCGTTGCCAGGATTGAGGCTACCTCCCTCAGTATGGTAGGATGAACCATATCCGGGCCAGGAGAAGTGTCAAGTCTTAAGTGCTGCAATTGCCGGAACACCAAGTCAGCGCTTAGGTCCACTTCAGAAAGTCCTGAGGAATTGCAGATGAAACTGTCGTCAATAAAGTTGATGTCAGCCGGTTGAAATGTTTGAGAGTAATGTGCCGCCAGAAGGTTAGCGGCGTCGCCATCGTTGTTGGTCGGGCCGTTAAGACCTACCAGTTGAGAAACTCCTGTCTTGGCTTGACGAAGAGAGGCTGCATAACGGAATAGGCTTCTAGGGTTAGAGGCGAATTTGTCCATAAGCTTTGTTTGGTACTGAAGCCTGTCTTCTCTTATAGCCTTCGTGCATATGTTCCTGATATGTTTATATTGCCTATACGCTCCATCGTTATTAGTTTATTTGTATTCCGCCCAACAGTGCCTTTTGCGGCTTAGCAGGCGAAGGGTACGGTTCTTGATTACTGTAGGTGGCTTGCAGCTTTTGGGAACCGTTTGAGGAACTGAATGGTCTGTAGCACATAAGAGCGTGTGCAGTAAGAAGTCCCAATGACCATCCACATCGAGTTGAGGGTGAACATCCCAAACCACCTGTTGCAGATAGTCATGAAGAGCTGGCACATTCAGCCATTTAAAATTCCAACGCAAATTATTGTTGGGATACCTTAGCTTAGTTTTGATGACAAAACTGAAGGCTTTGACGGCATGATCGCTCTTTCCCAGAGGAGCCAGGATTGAGAGGTTGTCGACTAGGAATTCTTCGTTAGTGAATACACAGTCTAAGCGCGATGGTGTCTGACTGTTTCTCCAACGAGTTGCCGACCTCACATTTTCATATAAGCCCAAGTTATCGATGAGGTTGAAGAACCGAGCTTCAGTTGAGTTGTCGCCTCCAGGGTACGTGTGTTCCGCGAAGTTGACTCTAGGGAGATTAAAGTCCCCTAGAATCAGGATGTGTGTGAAACCGAGACGGATAGAGCGGGATAGTCCTTCCAGCATACGACTATCGTACTCGGTGTCGGCAGTTGGCTTCCTGTAAATGACTCCGACTAGACACCTCGAAGTACTTGACAATCTAACAGAGCACCATATGGATTCCTCAAGATTGTTAAACTCGAGGTTGTGAACTTGGTGCACCTCCAAGTAAGAGCTTATTTATATGGCTACTCCGCCCCCAATTCCTGTTTTCCTGTCGTTGCGGAACAAAGTCATCCCAGGTAATGCTAACTCCTGGTCCGAGAACTGAGAAGATATCCAGGTTTCAGATATTCCTATCAGACGGGCCTTATTAGCGTTACCAAGTTCATGTAGTTCATCCAGTTTGTTTGGTAGACTCGCGGCGTTCATATATAAGCAGTTTATGCTTTCAATTTGGAACGCGTGAGCTTCGTCCTGTTTTTCTGTATGAACCTTATGTGAATGGACAGGTAGCCCACCTATATGAGGTTTCCCGAGGTGGTAGGCCCTGTCCTTTACACGTTTTTTTATCGTTCAGACAGTCCACAAGTGGAATGGTCAGCTCCAACTTGCCTTTGTGCTTGATCCTAGCCTCATATAGCCTATCCGGGTGCATGTGGATTCCAGGTGGCAATCGACGTCTGTAGGCACGAAATGCTTCCAGAACTGCAGCCGCCATGTGGGAAGATGGGAAGGTTATCTTCATTAGACGGGGTCTAAGATCACCGTCCTTCTTGGCTAGTCTCGTCACATGCTGAGTCAGTATGTGTTTGAGCCTCAAGGACTGTTTGATGAATTTCCATTCCCTGATGTCAGAATTTGATTGAGTAGGGTCTGCATTTTCCGGTATACCTTGCACAATTATGTTTCTTCCGCGGAAAAACTTCTCGCGAGATTCTTCAGGGACGTTTCGTATGATATTGCGCTCAGAGTACGGTATGTCGGGCAATATTCTTACGTTACCATCGGATTTCAGCAAGTGACTTGCTAGTAAGACGTCCTCTACGTCGGTAGCATTCTTAAGTGTTACTCGGAGAAGCCTCGGGTGATTTAGATGCTTAGAATCCTTTCCTCGAGTGAGCCGGGTGACCGTCAAAGGCTCTATTCTAGGGAGTTCCAGCTTCGTGTTCAATTCACCCCACAGCATCCTGTCGTTTTTGTCCTGCAGACTGAGAGGAAGATCAGGATTGTCGACGAGGTTCATGATAATGAGAGAATCGGCACGAACTGTTGTTAATTTACCAGGTTTCACGATGGGTTCAGGTTTGATAACTTGTTGTTTGGAGGTCAGTGCGCGTTTTCGAGTCTTGGGCTCTTTATTGACCGGACGAACAGTCTTCGGGGTAGACTGTGCGACCAAATCACCAGTTATTTTCCGTGCAGCAACACTTGGGTTGCTCGGCTTAGGCGGTGATGCCTGGTTCTTTTGGGCTCTCTTAACGTGGGTCGAATCACCTACAGGGTTTTGGGGAACCACTGTTGTGTTCAGGGACCCTGAGCTGGGAGACCCGAGTTTGCCTAGAGAGTCTAGTACCGTCGACGTAATGATGGTACTGAGCCTCGACACGTCGTCATTAGTGTTGATGGGTGCTCCATCGATGGTATACCTATCGACATCCCTATTTTTGAGTCCGTTGCACGCTCTTGTTTGTATATCGGTTTTTTTACTATCGTATTCCAAGTTAACTGACAACTTGTTCCGAAGACCTGTCAGTAGGACAATGATGTTACTCAGCAAGACTACTGCGTCCGTGCTGCACGTGACACATACCCACTTTTGGTCTGACTTGCTGAGTCTGTTGTAAGCAGTTGCTGTCAGATTTGTGCATGCTTCGTGGAACCAACCCTTGCAGTTGTCGCACTGCATCCCAGTTGTAACAGCAAAACGGCATCCCGGACGTTTGCATGAGTTTTTCATGACGGTGTTGAAGCAAACTATGTTATAGATGCTTGCAAGAGCCTAAGACCTTTTTAAAAAGAAACACTAAAAAGCACACTGAAAACGAACAAAAATGGACAAAACGAGTGATATAAACTGAAACTAGTCTATACGTGAAAAACAAAAAAACCGAATAGTAAGCTGAGGCAAAACCACAGGTAACTATTAAATATAGTGAAACTCAAAAAAAGTAATCTACCGAACGTATAGCTCAGGATAGATTCTTTAGAACTGGAATGGTACTTTTGTTGCGTAAGAACACAGCAAAAGTTTGATATATGCAAATCACGTTAGGACTAAACTTCCCGTTCGAAAAGCGCGCGTAGGTTGTTATCAGACATGGTGTGGCTGAACTAAATTCAAATCTAAAAATGTCTTGTTTTGACCGCTTCTGAAACTTTTCACGAATTGTCGATGTGACGCACCAATCATCTCGCGACAGTTTGACCTTTAAGTGCTCGCAACCTCCAACAGTGGACGATACCCCTGAAGCGTTGCCTACGACGTCCGACCTTATTCAGCAATGTTTAGGAATCAGTATGATCACGACGTTTCAATATGGAGTCCACAAGGACGAATTCATCAAATCGAATATGCTATGGAAGCTGTAAAGCAGGGTTCAGCAGCAGTCGCCCTGAAGAATCATGACTACGCCATAATTGTTGCCCTTAAGAGAGCACCATCTGAGCTCTCTTCCTACCAAGAAAAAATCATTCAAATAGATGATCATGTTGGGGTAGCGATCTCGGGTTTAACTGCTGATGGCCGACTTCTTAGTCGTTCAATGCGTCGTGAGTGTGCAGATAGCAGATGGGCCTACGATGAGCCATTACCAATTTCACGTCTGCTATTTAAGATAGCTCTCAAGATGCAAGTTCCTACTCAGAGATATGGTCGACGACCTTTCGGAGTTGGTATGCTAGTCACTGGTTGTGATGCCTTGGGACCACATGTTTACTACCTGGTAAGTTATACATTAGAAGACTAGCAATATGGTATAAACATATGAATGCAACGTGGTAATCACTAATGTCAACTTATGTCGTCCCATAACATATTCACCAGTAAACATACACAAGCGAATTCTGTATCAAGCGTGTATTCTCTAAAAGCCTAATATGTCGAACGTATTTTAGTTAATATGTTCGTTTTTAGATTTTTTATCTGGTGAAGAGTCTAAATAATTAACGCGAATAATTTTTCCCGGATTTTCTCAAGAGGACTTTTAGGAGTTTGGATTCGTAGATGTTTTTTTCAAAATATTTGAATCGTAGGGACCTTTAATTTGTCCCAGGATGTTGGTATTCTCCATTGGTAATCCATTTGGAAAATCTTCGTAAATGAGAACGTTATCCTTAATTATTCCAGGTAGAGTATTCTCATCTTCATGCTTTTTACCAGAGCTCATGATACTACCCGCTTAGATTTATCCACCCAAGTTTTCAACTTACGTCCTTCTAGTCATAGTGTTACTGATTCGCTTAAAAGTCGTTGGTGTGTGGTTAAACATAGTCTTTTTGAGTTCGCTATAATTCATCCCTCACCTAATACGTGCGTCATATAAACAGTTGAGTTTACGTTTTAGTTAATGTGCGGTTTAATCAGTTGGTATTTTATCATAGCTTCAGATTTACAACCTTTTTCTCTTAAGTGTCCATCCTCAAACGCATACGATTGCAAATGCATAGCCATTGGTTCTCGCTCTCAATCAGCTCGTACTTACTTGGAACGACATTTAGATGAATTTAAAGGTTCATCTTTGGACGATTTAATTTGTCATGGATTGAAGGCTTTAAACAGCACGTTGCCAAATGAAGTTAGTTTGAATATGAAGGTGAGTTTATTTTCATCAAAACTGATCCCATGAATGTTTTCTGACATCAAACTCAGCCCAGTCTTCCTGATTTTCGGGAATTAGCTAGTATATTGATTCCTACAAAGTATGATTCATACCCAAGCGCCCAGTAAATGAGTCTATCTACTTATATTTATCAAGTTTGGATACATTTGAGGAAGACATGTGTGCTATTAAATCCAAGAGCCAGGTCACTGAAGATTTTTATGACGTTCATCGCCAAGTTTACTAGTATATTGACCATTAAAAAAAAGCAAAATGGTACACTTTATAGTTTATTTTATTGTATATTTATTTGAACACATAAATATTGGTACAAGAGGGCACCATATATATATGCGCCACACAAAGCAATGAAAATGGGAAGAGAAAAAAAGAACGATAACGACTAAATTAGTGTAAGGTAGTTTAATGATAATAATGGGTAGACGGAATGTTACAATCAGAAGAAATCTTTCAGTTAAGGAAGATACAACCACTTTTTATGAAGAAAGTAAACGAAGGTTACAACATGATCGCCACTGACTTCTATTCTGAGCCATATCTGATAACGTTTCTAGCCACTGTGTAGCACCATCTCTCGGACCCCAGCCAAGGAGTCGTGAAAGACTAACAGAAGCCAGCCCTTTTCAGATTTCTTTCATATCCCGACACCACGTCATACACTGACCAATCGTTGGTCACCGGCTTCCATGGGACTGCATTTCCTCACGATGCTCCACTGCCTTGTGGGTCAGGCCTTTAGGTCAAAGGCTCGGGGTGTGGCCTCCTAAGGAAACCGCCTGTTTCGGTCTGGGCACCCGGGCAGTATCACAGCACGCACACAAATAAAATGAAAATGACACTTTATAGTCTCATTACATGATTCATCGGCTTGAAGCTAGTCGAAGTCTAGTTAGACATTGTTTTCCACTAATTCCTAGGTCAATGGTTGCGGTCCGCGTGACTATCGTAACCAATGGTTGGAAACTCTTGGTGACGTGGCTCAGAATCGATCACAATGGCGTCGGTGTATGCACTCTCTGTCTTCCCTTAAACTAAAAGATTAAAATCACTTCATTCTTTCTTCCTGCACCATATCCTTATCGCAATCTTCCCTTTATATATTACCACCTCTGAATTAACTACTTTTATGAATCCGGTGTCCATCTTGTTGTGTTAATGAGGTTTGGCAACTTGGACCGATGCATATATGTGCCTGGTCCTACGTTCTAGCTGACTGACTGACAATGGTAGTATATAAACAATTGTTGGAGCAATGATTTATAGTAATATTCTAGTATGTTGTAAAGGTTTTCCATCTACATGAAATAATATCGTCCAACATATTTCACCACTGTATGAATTGATTTGTTTGATGCTTCCCAGATTTTGTGTACTGTCGAACAGGAGTAAAATTGACGATCTTCAATACCAGATACGTCTTTCACTCCTAACCCCAGCTATTCAAAAAAATCTTTTAGGAGAAGCATAATAAAGTTGATTTACATCCAAGTTAGTTCAATTACATATCGATCAAATGTCTGATTACCGACTACAAATTTACCGTCTGAGCAATCATCTCTTGAGCATAAAATCAGTGAATTTATGTATACAATAAAAAAGTACTAAAAATCAAATAACTAATTTCAGACCGAATGAATTAATACATAAAGTTCCACTGAAAATATAATACTGTACTACGCAAATGTAAAGACTGGTTTTACCATAAAGCGTTATATTTAGAGGTTTAACATCTTCATCACAGACGTCGATCATTATATGAAACCTTGATATGTTTTCATTTTAACACGCACTTAATTTATCACGTTATTCACTGCCTGGTTTGTATTCCTAGGATTGCTAACACATTTGTACCTGGCTCTACGTTGACCATGATTGATTGCGTGGCTTCTAGGCCTTCATCAGTCAGCCATTCATTTCCGATTCCACTAAATTATCTCTTAAATACTTACGCGCTGCTTAAATTCCTAAATTATTTATTGTTCGGATATACCTATAGTCCAAATACAAAATTCCTCACTGCTGATGTTTTTAGTAAACACTTTGTAGCCCGCTGATCTGACTTCGACTTAGATGGATGTATGAATATACTATGAACATAAATCTCCCATTTAGTTCTGTTTATTACCTAGGCTAACCCCGTTTGTGTGACGGTGGTAATAAGAAGCCAAATACGGGTTGCGCTGGAGGGATTTATTTTAAGCATTCGTCTATCCAGACAGAAGCGAAGGCGAGTGAGCCAACTTGTTTTGATCAAGCGTGGCTCGACATTTATAGTCAGACAAAAATAAGTTACTGATATGTGGTAAGTAGGATGAGTAATGTCCTCACATACGTCCATCTAATAACAGTCAAGGTTAATAAGCGAATAATTAACAAGGTCAGAATGTAAGTCAAGAAGAATGAATAGATTGGTTTGTCCGAAAGCTAGAATAACTCATATGGGCTTGAAATGGTACTAGACACTACACAGAGATAGATTTGCTGAATATACTTCTACCTAAGTCACTCGCGTTCAAACACTAAGTGACTTAAAACGATTCGCGAACACTACTACACTGAAGGACTTCAGCGTTTATAACTGATATCTAATCTTTAGTATATGTCCACATACAGGATTGTAAATGAACCCTAAAGTGCAACTACGAACACCGTCAAGGTAGGAGGTTGATATGGCTTGTGAATCTAGACAAATGATATTAAGATACTGTGTCTCAACTAACCGCATATGATTATGCAATTTCTGCCACTGTTGTCAGCTTTTCTTTGTTCGTCGCCTCTTCTACGTTCTTTACTGTCTAGCGCCCCTTAACCAGTTCATTTCACTGTACATAATATGGTTACGAACGAGAATGAGTTTAGAACAAAATCAATTCCAAATGAAACCGAAACAAAATGTGCAGAGAAAAAAAAGCATAAGGGTTTGTGTAAAATTAAAGATGCTTCAAGTACTTGGTCTTTTCAACCAGGGTTGACTAGTTAGCAATGCATCAGCATATTTAAACTTGGGTCTCATTGAGCGTGCAGGCTAAAATGTAATGAGTCAGTCCTACCAATACAACTATTAAGATAGTAGTCGATTTCCTCTAATCTGTTAGTAAATATTTTTCACTCACAAAATAATTGTATTGACAAAATATAAACATTCTCTATAATATTTTGACTGATACTTTAACTCTTCTACATAATTATATGTGAGTCCCGAAACTCGAATATCATTTACGTTGGAGTAGTTAGAATCATTCAATCTCCCATATATCCAAAATTGATGGTTTTATTCTACTACTGTAATTAACTGTGGTGGATGGATGGTGATGGAAACTTGTAACTCAATGATTGAAAGTCTAATAGTTTTATGAACTGTCTTAATTTCAGTAGCATTACATTTAGTGATTTTAAATACTACAGTAAAAATATGAATTTTCATATCTTATTTGATGTTTTAGAATTGTTCACTTGCTATAGTTGGAAAAGACATGAAATTCACAATATTTGAAGATGACGATATTGATCCATATTTGAAGTTATTCGAAGCTACTCAAGCGGATGCACCAACTATCTCCGATTCCGGTCCTACTCCAATGGAACAGGATCAGTCTGCGTTGTAACCGGCTATCTATGTATATGGAATTGTTTATGTACTGATGATCTAACGACTATGCTGAGTCCTAACTTTTTTTTATTTTCGATTTGTAAAAATAAGAAGTTAATAAAGTTGAGTTATGAAATTCATATGTTTTCTTCCTAATATTTTCTTTTTATATAGAAAACAGTTTTGTCAAATATGTTTGATATTTTCTTAAACTTATGTAGAGAATTTTTGATATCTTGAAGTTTTAGCTTAAACATTGTGTTTATTAAACAGAGACTGTGATATTCAACTGGTTTGTGTTGAACTAGCTTAGTTTAAAGTTACTGGATAAAGATGACAAATCCAATAATAAGTTTTTAAACCTCTATCGATTGACATGACTGGAACTTATGTGTTCCTTGTACCCATCCACTTATTTTATTTTATTTATTTTAACACATATATATTGGTACAATGAGGCACCAAATACATATGCGCCACACAAATTTCATTCGATATGTGTGAGGGCTGTGATACTGCCCGGGTGCCCAAACCGAAGCAGGACCCATCCACTAGCTAACTTAATGATTAATGATGGTTGATACAGGAGTTGGTTGATAAAAAGGTAGTGGCTTTCAAAGCAAAACAGTATCAGTCTACTACATTTTTGGCTGATCCGTTTTGATAGACACAGACGATCTGTATGTAGTCACCACAATAATCATGATAAAATTACTACAACATTAGAAGACATTTAGTCCAGGCGATCTACTTTCCGTTCTTTTCAAAGATGGGATAGTCTTTTGATCAGGGAACTAAGTCGATTGTCTAAAATGTCTATATTTAGACTAAACCATCGTACTTCACTGAAGTTTTTTCTTTCCTAGTTTCAAGCAGGGGTTGCGTAATACACCTAATTAGTGATAATTGCTGACTTTGTTTTATAAAACAATGAATGGACCTGCAGGAACTCATATTGCGCATACGTTAGTGATCTTCCCACTCCCTCAGGTTTCGATCCTCAAATTTTCTAATTCTCATCAAATAGACAGCTTTTAATCTATTAAATAGTACCATTCTCTGGAATCGCTTGTCGAAGAGAAAACACCCTAGGAATTTCTCTAAGAATGACAGGAGTGTGCAATCAATCTTACATTGCTTCCAAATAATGGATGTGTTTGGATTGTTCAGTGTTGTCATTCCTATCTAGTTCTCTCGTCTATAACTTCCTCAAAACAACTGAGAAAGCTGTACAGTGGTTTCAATCTCTTGTTTAATGGAAAATCTTCAACCTTGAAAATACGATTGTGATTGTTTCACTATGCGATCCCATATAAGCTAATTACTACACACTTAACTATTCAGCAACCATTGCTTGTAGGTACCGTATGTAAGTTTTACCATCAATATGTGAAATAATTTTAAAAAACCTGCAGAGGCCTATGTCTTCGCTTACTTTTTGTAACGAGTTGTTTGGAATGGTCAAGGAGTTCATGCTAGTGTGATATTGCTTGGGGTAGTAAAGGCAGAAGAGATGTAGAGAAGTCTCATTCACCTTCGAATTCATCATTATGTGAATCGGAAAGTTTTGGTTCAAATGCACAGACATATCAAAAACTGTCTCAAGTTATAAATATAGACTGCTAGATGTCACCTCAGTGATTTAAATGTTAAACGCTTGTCTGAAGGTCTCAAGTTCGATCCCTGGTGCGGTCGTGAATATTCACTGATGTAGAATCCCTTACTAGCACTTAGCATTTGTTTAGTTCTTCCTGAGTCAGTTTGTGATTCGTTTTTTTTTCAAATTCAACAGCCTCTAAAATACCTCATGATCACAATCGTTTTACTAATACTAATGTATTGTAGTCAATAATACACATTTAAAGCGTAAGATAAATGTTTTCACTATTGCACCTCCATCGAGAGTTATATTTACACTGACTTGGTGAAAACATGGGGGAAAAGTAAAAGTTTTATACTGTAAAAACCGAGTCGTTTTTTGTCTACATACCTGTGCTACACAATCAGTGTAAATTTAAGATTTCTCAAAGTCCGAACTCTGCAACTCCGTATAGGTCCGTCTACTAGCTAGTGATTATTAGGTGTACTACCGAGCTGACGATGAAGTGGTCATGTGTCCTCTAGATCATTATATGCCCATTCTCAGATACTATGCATTGAAGCAAAGTAATATTCTTAACTTGAATATTTACTCGGCTTGTGTCAGTTCGTTGTAAAATGTTAAATAATACTCTATAATTCAGTTTTACAAGCCTCCTTTACAGTCCCCATGCAGCTATTGTACTTATTCTGGAGACAATTCTCCACATTTGTGCTTGTTCAGTGTAGTTTCTTCGGCAAAATGTATTCATTCTAAAGGTTAAGAGTTTCTGTAGTCAGTCTTTATATTCAGTATACTGTTACGTAACCCGTGATCAGTCAGTCAGTAACAACGTAGAACTTCGTACGTACGTACATCAGTTCGAGTTGCCACACCACATTAGCACAGAGATGCAGTTGTCGATTCAAATCCCGTAGTGGTAGAGGTAATAAGAGTATAAGCAGTAATCGGGAAGATTACTGCCCGTGATCATTTCATAAATAAACTGATTATTTGACTGAGTTATGTAGGCAGCTGCAGGCTACCTGGTTAGAGTCTGTGTGATTATCGTAAGCAATAGTTAAAGACTGTGTGACATGATTCGGAATTTTCCCGATAGCACAGATGCATTCAATAGTTATATTCCCTCAAATTCCAAGATTTTGAATAACCTTATGATTGTTTTTTTTAAGTACCACGAATCCATATTTTATCTAATCGTATCTTAGATACCCAGTCTTTTCAATTACCATTAATGTTGTCACTACCTCTTCTTCCCTGGGATTTTACTCTATAATTCCATCTCTCTGTGCAGATAGACTGTCGGCTTTTAGCGATATACACATGTTCCAGGTTCTGTGTTGTATATGACTGATTGTATAAGCTGGCAATGAAGTAACTTTCTACTGTAAAGACAATTTATTTGATTTAGTGAACAATTTTTACTTGAAATTTTAATTTTAATACCACAGTAGCTAACTTCTCGTTTCCTGTTTTCTCTCTACGTTTTCAGGCCTATGTAACTAGTACTCAATTTTGTAATTGGCATTTTTCTCCTTCAGAATTAGTTAATCTTCGTTCAGATTGTAATACAACTGCTCTTAAACGATTACAATCAATTAAAGAAGTAGAAATTAAAAATACCAATGAAAATGTAAACAATACATTAACTGTTGTTGGATTAGATCCTGATCAAGAATTTAAAATTATTAAACATTATGTATATTTAATGAAAATTTTATTTGATAAATTTACAACACCTCAGTTACCAAATGAAGTAAGTTTTTGAACTGATAATCAAATTTGTTCAGTTTTTTATTTTTTTATTTTTAAAGTTCAAGTGTAATTATTTTCATTGATATTATTGTCGGACTGGAAAGAAGGACACCTCATCAAGATTATAAAGAAAAGAGATCTGAACAAATGTGAAAACTACAGAGGTATCACACTAATTTCAGTACCAGAGTGCTACTGAACCAGATAAAAGACGCATTAGACACCCAACTTCGAGACCAACAGGCTAGATTCCGCAAGGATCGATCGTGCACAGACCAAATTGTCACACTACGGATCATTGTTAAGTGAAACTCGTCACTATACATCAACTTCATTGACTATGATAAGTCGTTTGACAGTGTAGATAGGAGAACTCTATGGAGTTCCTGAGAAGATTGTCAGCATTATCCGGAACTCATACGACGGACTGCAGTGCAAAGTCGTACACGAAGGATAGCTGACAGATGCATTCCAAGCAAGAAGTCAGATAAGGCTGTATACTCTCCCCCTTCCGTTTTTACTGGCGGTTGACTATATTATGAATACCTCGACATCTGAGGGAAAACACGACATACAATGAACATCTCAGAACCAATTAGACGATTTGGACTTCGCAGATGACATAGCCCTCCTATCTCATACACACGAACAAATGCAGATGAAGGTAGCTAATGTAGCAGTAGGCCTCAACATGCACAAACGAAAAAGCAAGATCCTCAAATGCAACGCGAAGAACACCGACCCGATCACACTTGGTGGAGAAACTCTGGAAGATGTAGAATCCTTCATATACCTGGGAAGCATCATCGATCAATAAGGAGGTTCAGATGCAGACGTAAATGCGAGAATTGGCAAAGCAAGGGCCACATATAGAACATATAGAACTCAAAACAACTTTCAATCAATATCAAAGTCGTAATCTCCAATACGAATGTCAAGACAGTTCTACTATACGGAGCCGAAACTTGCAGAACTATTACAACCATAATCAAAATATTACAAGTATTTATAAACAACTATATACGCAAGATATTCAATGTTTGTTGGTCGGATATCATCAGTAATATTCTACTGTGGGAGAGAACAAACCAGCTTCCAGCTGAAGAACAAATTAGGGAAAGACGATGGAAATGAATAGGATATATATCACGGAAATCATCAAACTGCGTCGCGAGGCAAGCCCTGACTTGGAATCCTGAAGGGAAGTGGAGAAGAGGGAGGTCAAAGAACACATTACGTCGGGAAATAAGAGCAGATATGAAAAGGATGAGTAACAACTGGAAAGAGATAGAAAGAATTGCCCAGGACAGGGTTGGATGGAAAGTGTTTGTGATTGGCCTATGCTCCTCCATGAGGAGTAACAGGTGTAAGTAAGCAAGTATTGTTATTGTCATAAGAGTGTAGATAACTTCATATCATTCTGTTTGTACTCGATCAAGTAACTAAATATGTTTCATTTTTGATAAGTTAGTATTCTTCGTTTACATTTAGACTGATAAATAATATTGTATGAGTATTGGTTATCATTATTTATCTGAACTATACATTTCATAAGGTGTAAACTTTCTATTTGTTTGTTCAGTACTAGGGAATGAAAATTGTTAATTAGTAAAAGTAGCCATACATGAACCCATTCAAATCTATCTGTCTTCATCAGTGAAAGGTCAGTAAACTTGGTAAATTTGTTAATTGGGTTGTGAACTTATATCGACTAAAGTAGTTGAAACGTGCACTAGTCATTTTCAGCCACTGCCTATCCTGATCTGCTTTACTGGTTTGTATAAAGTAAATTGTTTAAACGTTAGCGATGACCAAAACATGAGTAGATATCAGTTGATAAAATCATTGGCTGTTAATTTAGGCCGTTGGATTTGTCCTAACAATTTCATGTTTCTGTGCTAATGGGGTGTGGCAAATTGAACCGATCTACATACGTATCAGGTTATACTTTACGTTTAACTGACTGACTGAGTGATCCGAACTCAGTAACTCTGTGGGTAACAAAATGTTTAAATCAGGTGTATGTTCTAGTCCAACTGTGAGTATACATGAGTATTGTAATGCAAATACATCCATCTAACGAGTCTCAAATAGGATGTAACATGCGTTCTATATTCTACAATCCATTTGTTTTAAATAACTTTTGAAAATGGTTATATAGATGTTACCTGCACAGAACAGACACATGCCAATAATGATTGACAAATGTCTACTCACTAATTTCAACGATGAAGTAACTCAAATCCCTCGCACTAACGATATAACTTGTTCCAATTTTGTCTAACTAGTGAGATTTTCTGCAAAAAGTAACGTTCAGATGCATAATCTGTCCAGTAAATGTTTGAACTGTGGTTGCTGAAACTTCGTTTTAGAGTTCAGCACACGTCAATTTTACTGCCTATTATAACTATATAACTGTCCTGTCTCCATTTCTGTTGTTTGAAATACTCTTGGAAGTCGTCAAAAGTCAGATTTTCCAGCTACCTCACCGTCGTCATGTATTTTGCGAAAATCATTTCTCTCAAATTCAATTTATTAGCTGTCAGAAATTGTGGAAGACCACATACTTTCGATGTTTTCATCAAAACAGAAAGTTGATGATTCTCGTACTCTTAAATTTATTTATTTATTTATTTATTTGAACACATATATATTGGTACAGGAGTGCGCCAAATATATATGCGCCACACAAAACAATGAGAATTTAAAAAGAAAAGTAAAAAAAGTGGGGAACGTAAAAAAAATATATAAAAAAACCAATAACGAAGAGATTGGTGTAAGGTAGTGTAATAATAATAGTAATAGTAGGGGAACAGAAGGGTACAATCAGAAGAAATCTTTCAGTCAAGGAAGATACAACCACGTTTTATGAAGAAAGTATAAGAAGGCTACAGCATGATCGCCACTGGCTTCTATTCTGAGCCATATCTGATAACGTCTCTAGCCACCGTGTAGCACGATCTCTCAGACCCCAACCAGGGAGTCGTGAAGGACCAACACAAGCCAGTCCTTTGCAGCTTTCTTCCATGCCACGACACCATGTCATGCACTGACCACCTCTCCGCTTCTTCCAACCAGTCCCAGAGTCGGGAAATAATGCACGACGTGGAATTCTCTGGGACGACATTCGAAGAATATGTCCAAGCCACCGAAGTCGGTGTTTCAAGATGGTGATGACACCAATTGAATTATCATCTCTGTGCCCGAACACACGATCCCGAACCTCTGCATTACTGACATGGTATTGCCACTGGATGTCAGCAATCCTTCGGAGACAGCGATAGTCGAACACAGAGAGTTGTCTAACGTCCTTAACTCGGAGAGACCAGGTTTCACAAGCATAGAGCAAAACTACTCTCACCGACGCGTTGTAGATCCGACCTTTTACAGCCAGACTAACATCACGAAGGCGCCAAAGATGGCCCAGATTGGCATAAGCCGCTCTGGCTTTCACTATTCGTGCATTGATCTCATCACTCACACCCCCACCAGCACTTATGCAGCTACCCAGATACACGAACTTCTCAACTACGTCTATCTGCTCACCATCCAGGGTGAGTACAGGATTGGAATCCTGCCAGTCTTGTAGAAGTACTTTGCACTTCGAAGGTGCAAAGCACATACCATACCTACGGGCACCGATTGCCAACTGATTAAGTGCGGATTGCATGCCTTGGGCATTATCGCACAGTAAGACAATATCGTCCGCATACTTAAGGTCGAGAAGTCTTTCTCCAGGCAGCAGATCCACACCACCATTACTTACATCCATCAGAGCTGTTTCCAGAATGTCGTCGATGGCAAAGTTGAAGAGGAATTGTGAAATTTGGCAACCCTGCCTAACCCCACTGCTCGAATGGAACAATGGAGAGAGGTGGTTGTATGCCCTCACTCTGCCTGAGGTGTTTGTATATAGGGCTTTTAGGATGTTAATAAACTTCTCAGGCACACCCTTCTTCAATAGACAATCCCAGAGAACAGTCCTATCCAACGAATCGAAGGCAGCCCTGATGTCAAGAAACACTACGATTGTTGGCCTTTGATAAGTATAGCGGTGTTCTAACATTTGGCGGAGGGTGAAGATATGATGAATACATCCTCGACCAGAACGAAACCCAGCCTGCTCCTCGCGAGTCAATCTTTCTCGGGTTTTGAACAATCTACGAAGTATGACGGAAGCCAATAGCTTGGACGTAATCGCAAGTAGACTTATCCCCCGATAGTTGTTACACGAACGACGTGAACCGTTTTTAAAGATAGGGACAACTATCGACTCATTCCATGACGTTGGTACACTCTCTAGTTCCCAAACCTTTGTAAACAACGTCGTCAATTCCTTAGTCAAAAAGTCAACACCATCTTTAAAAAGAGCCGGAGGGAAGTCATCTGGGCCAGGTGATTTGTAACGCTTCAAGAGTTGGAGTTCCTTGCGGACTTCCTCCTCGTTTAGTGGATCAGTCGTCACCGGTCATGGAGGGCAGGACAGTCTGACCGATGTTGCCGGAGCAGCAGGCCAGTTGAACTGCCCTTCGAAAAATTCTGCCCACCGTCCAAGACGTCGATGGATGTTAGTGATTGGCATCCCATCATCCTCGCAGATTGTTTCACTCACACCAGACTTCTTGTTGCCAGTGGCTCGGATGAGCTGGAAGAACTCCCGGTAGTTACCAGATGCAGCTGCTGCTTCCAGCTCATTAGCACGCTTCGACCACCAGGCTTATCGGTCCTTACGCAAGCTTTGCCTGATTTCATTACGTAACATCTTTCGTTTGTGGTCAAACTCACGGTCACCCGGAGTAGACCGACGGGCTTCAATGAGTTGTAAGGAACCAGAAGAAACCCAGTGCTTAAAAGCGGGACGTTTCGCAAACCCACAACTGACTGTACCCTCCATTTTCATGGCTTCATGCAATTGCAACCAATGCTCATCCATACTTTTCGGTGGTATGGTAGCTAGCCTAGAAGCTAGCTCGATTCGATACTTACTTGCAACAGGAGTTG